GCTTAAGCAAGATGAAAATGGCCAGCTGTATTCATATAAAGCAAGATTGGGTACTCAAGGATTTTCCCAGAAGCATGGTGAAGATTATGATAAAATGTTTGCACCAGTAGCTCGATCAGCAACATTTAGGATTCTCATGTCGATAGCTGGTGTTAATAATTATCATGTTAAGCAGTTTCATATTAAGACTGCATTCTTGAATGGTGATATCGAGGAGGAAATATGTATGAAGCAACCGCCTGGATTTGAAAAGGGAAATGATGCTTGCAAGTTAAGAAAAAGCCTTTATGGTTTGAAACAAGCAGCAAGAGCATGAAATAAAATTTATCATTAAGCAGTGATTAGTTTTGGATTTAAGCAAAGCGAAGTTGATAAATGTCTGTATAGCATGAAGAAAGGAAATGATCCTTGCTATATGATTGTAAAAGATATGGTAAGTGTCCAACGACTGCAAACAAGAACTCATTTTCGGAAATAGGTACTTCATTTTCGAACTTGATTTGAATTTAAAATTTCCGTTGAAAATATTTGTTTACATTTCTTAGTCTTTATTGAATTTATTAAATTTCATTTTTTTAAAATGGCCAGAAATTGTGTAATTACTGGTTGTAAAGGAAAGAAAACCAATAAAATACCTTTGTTTGAACTTCCAAAAAGCTCTGTGCATAAAGATAAGTGGATTGAATTTCTTAAATTGCATAATATTGAATATTGCTGTGAAAAAAAATATTTCTTGTGTATTCTTGAATTTATTTATAGACAGCTTAATTGTTTTACCTTATGTTCTGATCCTTCCTTTAACCAGAAATTCATCAATACAGTAATTGCACAAATTGAAGTCGATTTTGAACATTGTCAAGATACAATTGATAAATTATTAAAAGTTTTTGTTGAATTTAGAGTAAAATTACAAATTCAAAGTCGATTGGTACATAAAAGGAATAATTTTGCTTCAAAAAATAACTAAAATAAATATTATTTTATTAATTCCCTAACGATCATTTATTTTTTAAAAAATTTGATAGTTCGAAACAGTTCGAAATTTTTCGAATTTCAGTTTGAATTTTTCGAATCTAACTGAAGTTTTCTTTGTTTGCAGTCGTTGGGTAAGTGTAAATCACTTTCTAGGAATTGATGTGAAACGTGATAAAGATGGACATTTTCATATAAGTCAGAAACAATACATTGAAAAGATTGTGGAAGAAGGTGGATTGAATGATGGAAAATTTTCAAAATATCCTTTGATGACTGGTTATTTCGTATATCATGATGAAAATTATTTAAAATTAAATAATAAGTATAGTAAGCTCATTGGAAAACTGTATATTGCAACATCTGTTAGAATATCGAGCTAAAGACCGATTTGATAGAAGCGTAGAGAATTATTCGCTATTTGAGTGGTACAAAGAATCTAAGTTTGATGTTGAGTGATAAGAAAAAAGTTGGAGAATTGGAAGTTTAGTCTGATCCAAGCTGGGCTGAAGATTCGTTTGACTGAAAATCTATCAGTGATTTTTTTTGTGGAATTAATGGAGGTATTGTTTCATGGTGCAGCAGAAAACAAGACGTAGTATCGTTATCATCCATAGAAGCTGAATACATCGCGCTCTCAGAAAGTTGCAAAGAGCTAAAATGGGTTAAAATGTTGACCGGTTATTTTTCTAAGTTTGTCGTTCCAGATAAAATTGTTCTATATACAGACAGTCAAAGTAGTATGAAATTGATATCCAATCAGAAATTTAGCAACAGAAGCTAGTAATTTCCTCTTAGATTTGTTATTTTGTTGATGTCATCTCTCAGATGTTCATCTATTTCCCCTCCTTTGCTTCCTCCTCGGAGATAGACTGAGAGGTTGTGACAACTATCCGTGTCATTGATGAAGAATTTGATTCCAATGCATTCCATCAGTTTTTTTGTAGCTTGGTTGAAGCTGATATTTTACTTTGTACTTTGATGATTCCAATCCATTATTTTTTGGCTTTTAAGCCGATTGCTTAGAGTATTTCGTCGATGAACTCTGGATTTTTGGCGACTAATTGAAGTAGCTCGCTGATCAGGTACTTGCACTTTGATTCCTCTGTTTCTGAGATGTTTTTTATCTCTTGTGCTGGTGGTTTCTATGCTTTCTCGAAATCCCGGTCCCGACAAATTTTCGGGATCGGGATCGGGATTGAAATTTTTCGGGATTTCCCGGGAAATCCCGGGAATCCCGAATATGTAAAAAAATTTAAAAACAGCATTTTTCTGCTTTTTTTCCCAAAAAAAATTATATATTTTTTTGCTACTTATACGGTCATTTGTTCCTTAATTAATTAGTTATACTTTATGTGTTACAAGGTAGATGTTTTAATCCATGTTTCCTTTGAAAAATGTGAACATAAACAAAAATAGAAAATAAATGTTGATAAAGATGTAAGTTTAAAGGTTATAGAAAACGGTGTGAATATAATAATAAAAATTAAGCATTAATGAAAAAACTTTTAACAAATGCAATTGCATTTAGATTCTTGTCAAGTAAACGTTTTCTTTGTTTTGTAAGAATGTTGTTACTAATAGAGAAATTTCGTTCGCTTTGAGTTGAGGTCGGCTGACGGTTGGATTTGATTTGCACTGGATGTTGAAGCTTCCATAGCTCCATTTGTAGAGTTTTTGACAAAATACTTCTTCAATAAGTCAATGCCAAGTTTATGTATTGCAGCTTTTGTTGACGATTTAAAATGCTTGTCTAAAGAAATATATTGAGGTAAAGTATTAAGTTAATTAATGTTCCATTTCTTCGTGCACCTATGCGAGCGCAATTCATATCGTAAACCTTTTGAGACAATAATGTTCCTTGTAGCAACAATTCGTCTAGCAAAAAGTTAATTGTTCCTTCAGCAATTAATAAATCGTTGTATTTACGCAATAATTCTTCTGTCGCGTATTTAGCAGGTTCTAAAACATCAATAATTTCCTAAACTAAAAAACCGGGATTTTCAATCCCGATCCCGATAAATTTCGGGATCCCGGGATTGATCGGGATCGGTAAATCCCGGGAAATCCCGATCCCGATCCCGATAGCGAGAAAGCATAGTGGTTTCAGCTTGTTAATTAATTATTATGTTCCGATTCACTACCTCAACACTGAATGAAGGTTCTGGGAAGGCTTCATTCGAGGTCTGACTTGTTGGACTGATGTCTTCTGAGCAGGGTGGGGAGTTAACTCAAAACTCAAATTCAAACTCCTTTTCCAATGAGTTTGGAAATGAATTTGAGTTAAAATTCCGTTACAATATGAGTTTGAAAATGAATTTGAATTTAACTCATTTTTGAAAATGAGTTTTTTTTTTTTGAGTTTGAGTTTAAACTCATTTTCAAAAGAAGTTGAAAAAAGAATTTGAGTTAAAACTCATCTGGAAAATTGAGTGGAGTTTTGAGTTAAATTCAAATTCATTTTCAAACTCATTTTGTAACGGAATTTTAACTCAAATTCATTTTTTGAATTTTGAATTGTGAGTTAACTCATGAAATTCTCCCCACCTTGCTTCTGAGTTTTTCTGAGGTTTTTGATGTTGATTGTTGTTATTAATGCGCTCGTTTTGCTTTTTTCTTTGATTCTTTTTCCAATTTTTTCCCCTTTCTTTATTGCTTTGTTGGTTGTTCAACTTATTTTTATTTCCCTGATTTGAGGGTTTGTGATTTGAATGATGAGAGGATTTGTGTTCCTTGGTTTGTGGTTGACTGGAGCTTGTTTTTGATGAGCAGGCTTTTGTGTACTAGATGTTGATGGTTCCACATTCTTCTTTCTCCATTGAGGTTTTGGTGCATGTTGGACGTTTCTGGTTGATCACTCAGGACGATGCGGTGTTGGAGGATTGTTTCTCCGTTGTCCAAGTTTTTCATATGAATAATGGTGTTTAATTATCCAATTTTTTATTTGAATGAAATGAAAACAACTTTTCGTTTCTCTACGAGTATATCGACTGATTTTCTTTACTTTTATTTTTCCTTGATCACTATGATCTATTATTTTACAAATGGCCTGCTGTTTTGTTTTGATTTCGGTTGTTTCCATTCTGTGATTTTGATTTCGACTTTTCTATTATTTCTTGACTGGTTTTACAACCTGTGAAAATTGCTGTATGTTTTTCAGCGCAGAGGAAACAACCGAGTTTTCCGAGTGGAACCTTGTTGGTCTCTTTCGATATGTTTTTGAAAAAAAATATAAAACAGGTTAAACAGGATAATTATAAACTTATATAAAGGGGGTGGAAAATTTTATCTCAAATTCCCTCCTCACTATGCACCTGGTTTCGTCAAAAATATAATAAAGTTAAATAACGATTAGATTAAAATCTGAGCAAATCTTAACTGAACTTAAGATTCTTAAAAAACTTCACATGAAAATACTTAGAGTATGTTCAACACATGTGGTCGTGAGTATGCTCAATTGAGCACATTGTATTTTGAAGCAACAAGTTAAATTGGATTAATTTGGAACAAGAGTGTGCTCAATTTATGTGCTCTTAACTGAGCACGGTGAATTTTACTATATCAATTTTTTTAAGCACAGTCACAACGTGCTGAGTATGCTCAAGGATATGCTCAGGTGAAAATGCTCTAATTAAATTTGTCACATTTTCAAGTTGTACTCAGAGTTTGCTCACGAGTATGGCAATCTTCACATAAATTATAAATGAAAATATTAATTCTTTTTTCACGAAAATAAAATAAATATCAACGTATTGAACAGTTGTTAAACTTCAATACACAAACGAAGGAGATCTCAAGTCTCAAGCAGACAATGTGCATTAAGCTACCTTTTAGAAACAAGTTTCAAAATGTGTTAAAAATATGGGAGTCACTGTTATAAGGTGTAATTAAGATTATTATTAAATAAATAGAAATGTTAAAAGGCTGATAAAATTGTTGGGCTTAAAAAATTATTTATATTAGAATGCTTAATTATAAATGTTTGATTAGATTAAAATAATAATAATACCTTTTTAATTCAAAAATAGGTCGGGAGGATGTTTCATATCAATATGTCGTGGAATTTCTATATTTATGGGACTTTTGGTTTTTCTGTTTTTCCTGTCTTTCACAATATTTTTTAGCACAAAATATGCTTACGAGGTAAAATGAACTTAAAAAGCAATTATTCAAAAATACTTTTTAATATTTCGCATTTATTTTAGACTAAACCGAATCTTACTTTAGGAGATTTCTTAAATCATAGAAACTTTTTGATAGGTATGTTATATAATTTATTAATTGTGTTTGATTACTAGCAAATTAATTTCTTAAGAAAAATATGCGAAAATTCCTAAATACATCATTCCAAAGCAGTTTCATTTAGTACTACATCCAAGATTTGATGAAGAAAGATCAAACACTACTAAAGATCTAGGTAAAACTGAATTGGTAAACAAATCATAAAACAATTGCTATCAGATCTTTTTTTTTCTGTAAATGTTTTTCAGCTCGATTCACATATATGGGTTTTATATACGTAACAGTCGTTTCTAAAAAGAGCAACAATAAACGTATTGAAATAAATGTAAAAAATCTAAAAATTTCTTCACAAGATGTAAGCGTTTATCGCAGTTTAACATGGACTCATCTTGATTTTGACGATGACCCAGATTTTAATTCGCATGAAATTTTATATAAATATATTGTTGTTCAGCGTAATAAACGTGATTTAAATAGTGTGAACATAACAAAAACAGATCCGAATAATGCTGGCGAAGACTTAGATTCTGAAGAATCAATCAATAATAATGAAACAACAAGCGATACATCATCATCATCCCATACTCGAAATAAGACTTACTTTTATCCTAAATTTGTAAGTTTATATTTTTGCTATTTTTTAATATACACTTATTTAAAAACGAGACATTTTAATTTTCAATGGGTTCTAAGATTTCATCAGACTTTATAACAGTACAAAAGGAATCTTTTACTTCTTTGAACATTTATAAAAATTTGGAAAAAGGGGTGAAAAAGGTATTTTTTCCCGAAGTGTTAAATATGAACGTCTTGATAAAATTTGAATAGGTATTTTAACTCTAGTTAAAAATTATTATAAAAATAAACTAAATAGAATACCTGATATCACGAAAGTAGCCAATTTTATCCTTAGTTTAATACAAGTTTAAACTTAATTACCTATTAAATTAGTAATAATTTTTAAAAACAATATTTATTTTAGGAAAAAGAAAATTTTGTCCCCATAAAAATTGTGGATGTTGAAATGGATGAAGCAAATGATAAATTTATTATTTATTTGGCAACAGACATGGCTAAAGATGTGTATTATGTAGTGAAAGCAAAATTTTATGGAAACATGACTCATGATAAAGGATTTTACTATACCGTAAGTTTAATATCATTTTATTGCGTTGTCATTACTACATGCATTTTCAACAATTAATATTATACTAGGCTATTCGGAGGCGCCCGTGGCGCCTGTAATCAGGGTTTAAATTTGATTGCTATCATGTTAATAACTGTAAGACGCAAATAATCGTAATGTTTTTAAGGTCAATCCTACCACAAAACTTCATATGACTTCACAAACCCCTCTGAAACTCGAACCCCCTTTATCTCACAAAAATTTTATAAATGGCATCACAAAACTTCACATGGCTTCACAAACCGTAACTCATCTAATTTGACCATCTCTTCCCTTATTTAGTATAAAAATTCTTCCAATCTTCCACTTCATTTATGGTACATTCGAATCCATGATGAGAACCAAATCGTTTAAATAATATTGAACCTTTTTTGTTGAATCTTTTGATCTTATTTGAGCGTTGATTAAATTCTTATACCAAAACTTCCAAAATAACTGCTGTGCTTGTGGAATCATATCCTATTGTTTCAGTTGACCTTGTTGTCTATCTGTAAGGTCACGTTCCAAACGACTGTTCAACGGCCGTTCAATCAAGAAATGGCCAGGTGTAAGAGCCTCATAATCATTTGGACTATCACTTTTAAATGTAATCGGTCGGGAATTCAAAACTGCTTCAGTTCTACACAAGAGAGTTGAAAATTCCTCATAAGTCATTAATCGATCTGTCATAACTCTTTTGTTTGATAGTTCATTTGCTTAATTCAATTTCCCAAAATCCTCCCATATGAGGTGCTTGAGGTGTAATAAAATGCCATTTTACATTTTTGTCATTGTAATATTCATGAATTTGTTTTTCCAAATCTTTAGCAAATTTCTTGAATTCATTGCCTGCACCTTCAAAACATGTTGCATTGTCTGAGTAAATATCAGTTGGAAGCTCTCTGCGTGATATAAATCTACCTAATGTACCGAAGAAAGCCACTGTTGTCAGATCCGTTTACAATTCAAAATGAATTGCCTTTGTACACATACACTTGAATAATGCGATATAGTACTTCATTGCAGTTGTATTACGAACCTTCCCAGCTTTAATTAATAAAGGTCCAGCATAGTCGATAGCTACCTTTTCAAAGGCATTTGATTGATTAACTCTTTCTGGTGGTAAATCTTCCATAATTTGTTTACGACACTTAGGAGATGCTCGAAAACATTTGATGCATTGAATGATGATTTTATGAATTATCGCTTTTACTTGCACAGGCCAATAAACTTGTCTCACAAAAAATAATGTTGAAAGATGAATCCGACGAATCAAATTATAAACAAATTGACATTTAGGCATGATGATTTGATGCTTATTTTCATATGTTAAACTTTCACATTCACTAATGCGACCTCTTGTTCTCATAATACCATAATTATCCAGGAATGGTGACAGTTGTTTGATACTAGATGATAATAAAACTTCTCTTCCTTTTGTCAACTTCTTCAATTCTTGAGGGAAAAAATGTAATTGTATAAGATTAATTACTTTGTTTTTACCTAGAAGCTCATAATCTGCATGTTGACGTTTGATTTTGATATTTGCTTTCTTCCTCCATTTATCTATTGTTCTTAATAAAGATGCAAGTATTTTAAATAGCTTTGTCGGATGAGAATATTTATTTTCAATGTAATGATTGATGTGATTCAACGATGGATGAGTTACAAGGAAAACTCGACGAAATTCCTTTTTGTACTCGGAATTATCCAAATCAAAGTTAATAATGAAAGTGGCCAGCATTCTTCATCTTCTTGAAGATAATTTGGACCATTCCACCACAATTCACAGTTATTCAATTCTTCTGCTCGTGAAATTAAATCTGCAGGATTACTTTTTGTGCGAACATAACTAAAATTTAATTTTTCTGCTTCTACTTGAATGTCATCTACACGATTTCCAACAAATATTGATAACTTAGCAGGTTCTGACTTGGGCCAATGAAGTGCAATTAAAGAGTAACTCCATAAATAAACATCATTTGCTAGAATTCCTTATACTGTACTAATTCGTTTTGATGTAATAATTCGACATGTAACATTTTTGTTAATATTTGTTGATCGCAAATACAACACCATACCGCATGACTTTGTAGAAGCATCACAAAATCCATGTAATTGAATATTTAGTGGATTTACACAAATGATTTGTCGATCAATTTTAATTTGATTAACTAATGCCAGTCTTGTTTCAAATTTTTTCCATTCCTCACATAAATCATCAGGTAATGCTGACTTCCAATCAAGATGTCGTGACCACAGCTTCTTCATAAATAATTTTGCAGTTAATATAATTGGACCAAGCCAACCGATTGGATCGTAAATACTGGCAAAACATGAAAGAACTGATGACATTGTTAACGACTTTTTATCTTTGAAATGCAACTTGAATGAGAATGTATCTGAAGATATGTTCCAAATTATACCCAAAGCTTTTATTTCGCTTGATTCTTGAATCTTTTCAAGATGACTCGTAGGAATTGAAGAAAGTACTTCTTGACTATTTGAAACCCATTTACGTAGAAAAATTCCCACCTTTCGAATACTTCACATAATTCTTTTCGTAATTTGTTACTCTTCTCAACAGTATCACACGTAAACAACAGATCATCATGGATATACATGCTGATCATCATCTGCTAGTTGATTCAATGCTCTCGTTGCCAAATAAGGAGCACATGATGTTCCATAAGTTACAGTATTCAAGTTGAAATGTTTGAATTTCTCATTTGGACCATCTCTTCAAATAATGCGTTGATAATTCTGATGCGATTCATTTACAAGAATTTGTCTATACATCTTAGCAATATTAGCTTTTAATGCTATTGGTTTTGTTAAGAATTTTATGATGATATCATAAAGTTCTGGTTGTACTGTTGGTCCAATAAATAAAGTTTCATTAAGCGACAAACCAGTTGCAGACTTGCAGGATTCATCGAAAACAACACGCAATTTCGTTGTTGTATTATCTTCTTTCACAACTCCATGATGTGGAAGATAATAACACGATTCAAATGGTGGCGTTATATTTTTCAATTCAGTCATATGTCCCAATTCTTCATAATCCTTTATGAACTTTTTGTATTCACGGTAATCAAAACATCTCGCTTGAGTTTTCTAAGCCTCTCCTCTTCTGCAATCGATTAATTGCATTGTTCAAGTTATTGCCAAGATTGGTGGAATTTGATATAAATGGAAAATCAACCACATGTCTTCCACTTCCGTCTGGAACTGTTGTGTCCCTAAATATCTCTTCACATGTTTTTTGATCTTCAGTCAACAGAATTTCTTTATTTTCATATGTTTAATCATCCAGAACTTAACCAGTTGTTGTTCAAGTGATGGCTGTTGTGACATTGATAATAATGTTGTCTTTAAGTTTTCATTACAATCTACATTTCCACTGAACATCCATCCAAACTTTATTTGAATTAACAATCCATTGTTAGATATTTGATGTCTGTCTTTCAATACAGCATCCCAAAATCTCTTGCAACCAACCAACATGTCAATATCACTTGGAACGTTAAATTTTGGATCAGCCATAAAAATTTCATTGAGTATTTGAAACTTCTTAATTTCAAAATAATGAGTAGGTAACTGATCTGTAATTACAGGATATTTTATTAATTAGTATTTTTGAAATTACCATATCTTGGATATCTTGACTTAATCGATGCCACAGCTTCGTATTTTACATCAGTAGGAATATTATTGATTCTATTTATTTCTCTTTTAATTTTTCTAAGAGAAAAGCCCAGCCGTTTTGCTGTTGCTTCTGTGATGACATGTCCATTGCTACCAGAATCCATAACAGCTTTTACAACTTGCCATTTACCTTCATTGTCACAAATCAATATTTTTACTGGTGATAGTACAGTTTGAGTTGATGACAGTAATGCTTTATTGTTTATCACTAATATTTCGATGAAGTGTCGTATGATGTCTATTTCCAAATGTATTGCAATTTTTGGAACTTATGCATTTCTTTGCAATATGTCCAGGTTTTAAACAATTCATCATAGTTTGAGCTTCGAAACTATTTCAAATCTTTTGTCAATGTTCTCTTTGAGAAATGATGAACAATTACTGTTCAAGTGATTTTGTGAAGTTTTCCTATTTTGATTATTTTCTTGTTGATATTTTGATGAAGACGTTGGAATTGATGATTCACTAGCCGTATATTTTACTGACTTATGTCTTCCTTCCAAAAATTTACATAACTTATGAAATGTTGGTTTATGAGTATTAATGTGCAAGTCCCATTCTCCTCTGGTAAATTTATCAAATCTATCTCTGATCATCTTTTCGTACATCAAATCCATAAACTCATGATCAATTGCATTCAGTTTTACAAACGATGACCTTATGCTGACGTATGAATCCACCAACTTTAGTATATCTTGAGTCTTGTAAATCTTCTCAACTTTGAACAATGAATCTGTACATTCTAATAACATTGCTCTACGATCATCAAATCTCGAACATATTGCTTCCAAAGCATTTTCATACGTGTCATCTGTCACTTGATAATTATTGAGGATGTTTTGAGATGCAGGTTCTATCTTTATAGAACTTTTCAAATAATGAAACTTGTCAATGTTAGAGAATGATGAATTCGTTTGTACTAATGATACGAAAGTATCAGGGAAAGTTAACCACTTGTCGAAACTTCCATCAAATTCTGGCAATTTTATTTCTGGTAACTTTACTTTTCTTACTTGATGACGTCGATCTTCATTTTCTCGAATTGTTACATCGGACTGTCTTTATGATTTTGCTTTTATTTTATTAAACAAAAATTAAAAACCTAGTACTTCGATGTTTATGTATTTCCATCAAAATTTCATATGAATCTTTAATGGATCGCATTTCTATTTTTTGAGCATCTATTGCTTTTGCTCGTGTCATTGTCAAATACTTAAGTTCTGCTTTTTAAAAATGATAACTGCGCTCTTGCGTCGGGTTCACGCTGGTTTTCAAAATATCTTGATTTTAACAAGTATAATATGAATCTAGCACTTGAACCAGTTCAATCAACTTCAATACACTGAATTCTTTTCTTGATCAAACTTCAAAAATTCCATTTCAAATTATAGATCCTAACCTGAAATTTCAGCGTTTATGATGTGCTGTCCAATTTTCAATTTGTTGATAATTCACTTTAATTATTCAACTTCAATTTCAAAGCGTACTTTCGTTTCGTTGCACATTTCTCAATTTCTCCAACTTTGTCAATGTCTTCCAACTTCTAAAGATTCCAACTGTTCCAATCGCAAGGTTCGAAGGACCATGTAAAAACGATAGCAAGTTGATTTTCCAACTTTAAATTCTACATGATCAATCTCCAATTTATCAATTTCAACTAATTTCAAATATATTCCAAGCCTCCTTAAATCATGATGAATTCCATTCATCACTCCTTAATCCCACAAAAATTTCACATTGCTTCACAAGCCCCCTCAAACTCGAACCCCCTTTATACCACAAAAACTTTATAAATGGCTTCACAATGGCTTCACCTCAAACTCGGACCCATCTTCCTCCACACCTGACACTCACCTTGTCAGCACTCCCTAAATTATTGGCTTGACACGACTTCACAAATAGCTTAACACGGCTTACATTCTAGAGTCAGTGAATTTGGCTTTTATAATATAGATAATTTTAATTTTAACACTTAATTTATTTAAAATAGCTTTAGTTGTTTTAAGCAATAGTAAAAAAAAGAAATTATAAATTGATTATAAGATAGGTAATAATGTAAAACATTCATTTTTATTTCAGTATTATGATGATATCAATGATCCTGCTGAAGCTTTCGATGGAAATTATACGACCAGTACAAAATATTTCGCAACAACATTTTTAGAACCTAATAATGCGCGAAGATTATTTCCATGTTTTGATGATCATATTTTCAGAACTCCTTTTGATATAACTGTATCCAGACGGGAAGACATGACGACAGAATCTTCACCAGATTTAGAAGATAAAGAAGTCATTATATACGATAAACTTTTCATTGACGAGTATAATGCTACAACATCTATGAAAGCTTCTGAAATAGGATTAACAGTGTGTATTGATTACAATTTAAAAATGCAAAAGTTATTAATTAACATTATTTTTTTTCTAAAACAGATAAGCAATATGAATCCAATTTTGTATCATATTCATAATAATTTATCAATTATTTTCTATACGCGTAACCTTTATTTTAAAAATACAAAATTCGCATCAATACAAATACCAAAGATAGTGACGATAATTGAAGAATACATAGATTTAAAATTTTCTCATAGTATAATTAAATATATTGCAGTTCCGAATTCTGATATTCATTTAAGTGAAGTAAAAAGCGGAATGATAATATCCAGCGAAATGCATATAATAACAAATATATTAGGGGGGAATTTTACCACTTATAGTCATAACTATTGCCTAGAGCAGTTATGTCTTCATATTTCCAAATTATATTTACAAGATTATGTTAATTATAAAACTCGAGAGCATTTGTGGCTTCATGACGCTTTGAGTTTTTATTTGCAAACTACAGTTTTGAAAAATTTAAATAAAACAACTCAAGCAGAACATTTAGTTTTGGAAGACCGATTGAATGCAATGAGAGAAGAACTTAACTACAAATCTACAGCATTGCAATATTTCAATCAACAACACATAGATGATAAAAATTATTATGATTTTATTAAAAGAAAAGGTGCAAGTGTGTTGCGAATGATAGCAAGTACAATTTCAGAATCAGTATTACAAAATGCGATACAAAAATATTTTGTCAAAATGTAGGATATAAGAAATTTTCCCAAATTGAATTATCATTGATTAAAATGTTTATCTTATTATTTTTTAAATAGGCGTGATCAAGAATATGCAGACTTTATAGAATGCTTTAATGTGACAAAAATTGATTGCATGCATATCCCTCGAGGTTTAAATATTTCTGAATTTATTCATCGATGGATTTCTTCGGAAAAATATCCAATTGTAAACGTCCAAAGAATTAATGGGAGTATAATTTTACATCAAAGCAGTCACACAGAAGATGATGATGGCTCGCAAAAATCATTATGGAATATCCCAATATCCTTTACTAATAGTACAGTTAAAAATTATTCTTCCGGCTTCGAATATTGGTTAATGGAAGATAATTTCACCGTAATACATAATGCGTATGATAAAAATGATCCCAGTGCATGGTGCTTAATCAATAATGGGTTCGGCTACTATAGAGTAAACTACGATTACGACAACTGGAAAGCAATTGTTCGTCAACTTAGATATGACCATAATGTCTTTCCATACACAACAAGGGCAATTTTAATAGACGATGTCCTGAATTTGGCAAGAATGAATTTACTAAACTACACCATTGCTTTTGATTTACTTACGTATTTAGTGGCCAAAGATGAATTGACTTTACATCCATGGCTAAGGTACTTATTATATGTATTTTATGCAATATTACCTCTCAAATTAACACCTTTAAATTTTTAGTGCATTAGATAATTTAAACTATCTTTATGTCTCAATGGAAGAACTCTCAAATTTTAGTATTGTTGAAAATTTTATGCGCGAAATTGTCAGTAAGTAAAAAGTAAGGAAAGATTAGACTTAATTAAATTGGATTCGGCCTTTTTATTTTAGATGCTGTTTATAATAAAATTAACGATTTAAAATATTCGCGTGATTTCACCGAAGACGATGAAGAAAAAAGGCTGGAATTCTTAATTGATGACAATTCTTGTATGCTTGGTTATCCCCATTGCATTGACGACATGAAGAATAAGTTTGAAAAAATGTTGCTAACTGACGATGAAGTTAATAATCAACTTTTAATCACTCCAAATCAATCTCAAGACGAACTGTTTCGACTTTTATGCACAACCATCAAATATTCAGGTTTTTTTGAATGGAATATTGTATACAAAAGTTTTAATAATACAAACGATTTAAACTATCGCAAAATTTTGATGAGGTCCTTAGGATGTACGAGAGAAATCAGCTTGATCAATTCTTATATAAACTTCTTAGTTCAAAAAGAATTTAACAAGTTTTCTGCAGATATATTGACATCTATATCTCAAAACAAAATAGCTATGAAGTATATTTTGGACTATTTAAGTATAAACTGGAAAACAATTATAAAATTGTATGACATAAGACAATTGAGTGTAATCTTCCAAAACATATCTAATGAAAATGAATATAAAGTTGTAAGTATTATTATTATTATTATTATTATTCATATCTGATATTTATATTTTTATAAACATTTATTTTTACTTTTGATTAGTTGCAGGAAATTTTTTCCACTTATCCTGAAACATTTAGGCATAAAGACAAAGATATTTTAAAAAGATGTCGAGATAAAATTATTAGAAAATTAAACTGGAAGCGTAACATTGGACAATTTATATGATTTTAAACCAGCAGTCACAAATAAATACATCATAAAATAAATATTCACTAACAAATTAACATTCGAGTTCATGTATGGAAACTAATTAAAATATTATCAAAATGGGGTAGTATCAATACTCTTTCTTTTAAATACAAAGCTTTCTTAAATCAAAGTAGTCCATAAAAAAGTATGATGCTGGTTTATAAGTCCAGAGATTATAAGTCCAGAAAATCAAAGTCACTAAAGATTTATAAGTCCAGGTACAAATACAGCTGGAATTATAAACTGCACGAAAGATTTTTAAGTCCAGGTACATTTTTTATCAGGACTTATAAACCTTACATGTGGTTTATAATTACAAAAAATTTATAAATTTTACTTATAATTTCGCAGTACCCCGAACATACAAAGAGCATGCTTAGAAAAGTGAGTCTACTAAAAAATTATACTCGTGCAAGCTCATTCAACTGAGCATGCTCAGGAGTTCATTACGAATGTACTCACTTGATTTTTTTGGAAAAAAAATTATAAGCTCACGTGAGAACATTCAACAATGTACTCATGAGAATATTAAGAACATACTTATGTGAATACACTCGTATGAGTGCACTTACTGAACATACTCATGAGAATATTAAGAATATACTCACTTCTGTGTGACATAATTTTTTTTACGTTCTTATATGAGTGCACTTACTGAACATACTGATAAGAATATTAACAACATACTCACTTCTGTGTGACATTTTCAAAAAGGTCGACCAACTTAAAATCGAACATCGAATACATTTTTATGTAAGTCGACATTTTTTAAAATGTCATTTTTAAAAAATTGTCAACCAACTTAAAAGCGAACATTGAATATTTTAGAATATATGTAATACAAAAATGTCTAACATAAGAAATTTTCTAAAACGAAACTTTTTACAGTTTTAAGTTTTCTGAAATAAATGTCAAGAGTTTCTCAAGGAATTAAATTAAAAATCACTTTGCTTTTAAAAAACTATAAGAATTTAAAAAAAATTATTAAAAAAAACATCTTGAAATAAATATTGTAAAAGAAAATCTGTGTGTGGAAATTTTCAAATACTGCATTTTAAGCACGATCAAAATCTTTTGGCTTTCATGGAACTAATATTTGAATTCATAAAATATTTTCAAAAAATATTAATGGTCGACATTTTTTGAAAAATAGAGTAAATAGAGTGAAAAATAGAGTAATAGGTTTTTCAACAAGGATGGGTGACCGGTTTTTAAAAACTTCCTTATTAAGTTTTTGAGATAAAATGTTAATAATAATTTCTAACACTCCAAAAATTATTCACAGAATTATCCTTATAAAACTATATGAGTATAAGCTCTTTGAGAATGTTCATAAGTGTATTCAATAAAAAATCTTGCATTAAAAAATGTTTCGTGTGGCATGTTGCCTTCTCATTTGAGTATGCTCATGAGTTTACTCAGTGAGCTTAATGCATGTCACATAGGAATGTGCTCACTGAGCATACTCAAAAAGGCACCGCGATCGCGTCACTTTAATGTATGAAATGAGCACATTCTCACAAAAGTTTGCAAGATCACAAATAATGTGCTCTGAGTGTACTCATTGTATGTTCGGGTACGATTACATTTTTCTAGACTTTTAATCTATGAAAATAATTTAAACTTATTTTAATTTTTTTTTTCTTTAGGGCAATTCAACAGATGAATTTAAGATTGAAGAACAAACTAATTATATTAATAATAATAATAATGAATTTTTGAAAACTTCACACAAAGAATTTATTTTTGATGGTTTTTTCTTCAAAAGTACCTTATATATCATTTTAAGCCGTTGTATTTCATTAAACTCCTTGCTAAAAACTTATTAATATCTCTTATGCTTTAACTAAGGTGAAATTTTATTCTTTTGTACAAAAATGGGAATTTTAAATTTCAGCTGTAGAATTGAAATTGAAAGTCAAAAAAAACTTTTTGTATCATCTTACGCATCCTAAATAATAAGAAATTAAATGTTTTATCTTCCAAACTATTAATTAAAGTGAGTTTAAAGCAAATTTTAGAAAAAATATCAATTAATAATATTTTTTCAACTCTTACATTCGCACCGTATTCACGTGTGCATGAATTGTTTTTGTTCAGATTGAAAAATCAGTTTTTCGAATTTTGTGAGGAAATGAAGATAGCTTAATAGGTCTAGATATGAAAAATTTGTGTCTAAAATTTCACATTCTCTGCAAAACAAAAAATTTCAAACTGGTTACGGCATTGCTGAGAAAATCGCAGAATACGCTTTCTGGAAGCAATCAGGTTAATCAGTAAGAAATCTCAATATATTGCAATAACGAGACATCGATTGGACTTCTAATTCTTTGCATTTGATCCGTACTGTTTTATAGAAGAGCTGTACTGTATTTTGGTAATGTAAGAACAGCCAATGCTTCAGAAAAAGCAAAAAACATTAATTTCTTACGAATTTTTAAAAACTAAAGTTTAGTGTGATTTTTTATAAAAATAAACTTTTGATGAGCGAAGCTACATTTAAACCTTCAAACATATGACTCGTCAAGCTTTATACTTTCAAGACTTTTATTGGTATGGTGTGAATATATCCGAATTGGGTTCTAGCCGATTAACTAGTCATTTTGTGGTGCCAGGCAATTTGGATTTAAGTTTGCTTTATTTTTGAAATAATAATTATTGAACCTATCTTGAATATTATAAATTTACTTTTTCACGTGATTCTACTTAAATTTTGTGGTAGCTAATAAGATTAATTCAAAATTATTGGGAACGGGACATAAATTTAAACTCGAATTTCAAGCATGTTTTTGGTAATTTTTAATTGAGATAATTTGACATTTAAATTTTTTAATTATTTTATTTTGTTCATCGAGATAATTCAGTTTGAAAATTTGCTTTCTGTCCGGAAACAGGAAATTGTGAAGCCTACAGCGAGTTTTATTTTAAAAAAAATTATTCTTATTTTTATTTACAATTTGTAAACTCGAACGATTTTTTAACTTTTGAATTTATTTCATTGTTTCGAAATAATACGCTAAACCATATAAAAAATAAAAAAAATATAATTTTTTGAATCAAGTTTAAAATATAAACACTTTTAAAAATTTAAATCAGAGTCTAGTAATTTGAAAAAATAGCACTAACATAATAAATAATGTATTGTTTGCAGTGTTTACTTCCTGTTAGTAAAATTAAAATATTGTAAATATTAATATTCAAATAAAGTTGAAACTGAGTTGTTTTTTTGAGTTAAATTGCTTTTTTTCCCTAAAGTATCAGAATACTTCAAATACACAATTTTTCAAATACAAAACTTTTTTTAGGTCCTTTTATTGCCTAAACCAACAGAAACTAATAACTTCTTCATCCATCGACTGTTTATAGTGCTTTATCTGATTTCTTTCTTTTTGGAACGAAAAGTAATGATTATTAATAATTAAGTTTTAAATATTTTATAATAAATGTAACTTCTTATAATAATTTAACTTCTTGTTTATTATTCTAGCCATGCACCATTTGTAGCTTAGTTTTTGTTACTGCTGTTTTTCTACTTTGCCAATCTGGTTTAGGTCACTGTATTTTCTGGCGGAATTGTTCTGAAGCTACTTGCTGATTATATTTTTGACGATTTGTTCTAATTTACAACCATTATTAAAAATGTATAAAATGTTAGAAATTGCATTTATTATATAGGACTCATGAAATTTGCATAGATTGTTATTAATAAGTATTTGAGCCAAAGTATAAGAGAATATAATAAGAAATAAAAACAAAAGGAATAAATGTATAAAATATTGAAGAAAATGTGATTTATCATAAATAATTGCTTGTGTTTTAACTGAACAGTGTAAATACTCCTTTAATTCAATTAATATATTGTTTTAAGATACAAAAAATAAAAATATTGAAATATCTGAAATATTAAAATCTGTTGTCTTGAAATCTGGCATGCTTAAGAGTCATGCATGCAAATCTTGATATTGTTATTTATGTTGATTAAATCTCAAATTATTTATTCAAAAAACATCATGAGTTTTAAGGTACACTTTTAAAACCGATATTTATATATTTCACTTAGAGAACGCCCGACAATAATTTTTCAAAAAAGTTATGAATTTATGATTTTAAAAACTTTATGCCAGTTTTTGAATTTTAAAAAAGTTACAGCCATACATAATAAAAATGAGCTCAATATTTAGGTTCAATATTGTTTATATTAAAAGTATCTGAAAATATTTTATTTGTACACATACTTGTTAAGAAAAGATCAGTTGTAACTTTAAAAAGTGTTTTAAATGTATGATAAGTGTATACCCAACAAGAAAAGATATAAATACATTCGTATTTCTGGAATCATACAAAGATAATTTTTCTCCACATTAAGTAGTGTGCTTAGCTTACCTACATACTCACACTAATAGTTTATTAATTCTTTCTATAAAGCGGACGTAAAATCAATTTTAAGCAATTTCTACTTTAAATCAAAATATAACACAATAAGTTCGTTGTGATAAAAAGGAAATTATAATTTTCATTTAAAATAATACATAGTTTAAAAAATCAAATACTAGCTAAAGTGGAAATTTAATTGTGTTTGAAAATATTTTACTAAGAATTTTATGCAAGACATGTTTGGTTAATTTAAAATCATCAAGTGTATATAAAAAAGGATTTAAGAAATTAGAAACAATTTTCAAACTTTATTAATTTTTATTGCAAACAAATGAAAAACTATTAGACGTACTATGATTCTTCAATCAAAATATTATCTTTAAATCTAAACAAAATGAATATAAAATATATGTTTTGTTTAGTTTATTTTGTGTGTTATGGTATAAGGCTTATTGCTTCGAGCCACTGTGAAACAATCAAAATCGAAATATGTAAAGGAATAGGATATAATGAAACCTTAATGCCTAATTTGGTTGGGCATGAGATGCAATCGGACGTAGATTTAACTCTGCAGACTTTTTCTCCCTTGATCAGTTATGGATGTAGTGCGCAGCTCAATTTCTTTTTGTGTTCCGCATATCTACCAATGTGTACCATAAAAGTCAATAGTGTTATCGGTCCATGTCGAAGCTTGTGTGAAGCTGTTCGTGCTAGATGTCATCCAGTATTAAGTTCTTTTGGTTTCAGCTGGCCAAACAGCTTGGATTGTAATCGTTTTCCTAGAGACAATATGGAAGGATCAATGTGCATGGAAGGTAAAAAAAAATTTCATACTTATTTATTTAAAGTGTATGTTTAATGAGTTAAATTTGTATATTTTTTTTCTAAAAAGGTCCAGGTGAAACTTCAACTATTTCTGAAGTCCCAAATAAAGTTCAGCCACTACAATCATCATGCAAATATTTGTATAAAGCTCATTTGTATGTAAGACTGATCAGAAATAATAGATGCACACCACTTTGTGAAGCAGAAATTCTATTTGACACACACGAAAAACATATTGCTTGGTTGTGGATTGGATCATGGAGCATTGCAGCAATCCTAATATCAATAATTGCATTACTTTGTTTGATTTTATCTGATAGTAAAAGAGATAAAAACCTTTTACCTTTAGTAGTTAGTCACTGCTTAATAGGAGTGTCATGGATTATACGGATTTTAGCTGGAAGAAATAATACAAGCTGTGGTTATGATATGCAATTTCCAGGAATATCATTACTATTAAGTGATGGTTTATCTACATCTCCTTGCTCATGTACTTTTTTACTCCGATACTATTTTGGAATGTCAGCATTAATATGGTATTTAAACATTATTATTTATTAAAAAATATATTGACACTTCTTAATTTTTAAGGATCACAATTCTTTGCTTTCGATGGAATTTAAATTTAAGATGTTATGTAAAAGAAACTCAAAATAGTGAATTGGTTCATAATACGTTTCTTCAAATCTGTGCCTATGGTATACCAGCAATTCAAACTATAATATCATTGGTCATAAGACTTGTAGATGCTGATGAGCTTTTGGGTAAGTTTTAGTTTTCAATCAAAAATCAAAATTTTAAGTGTTTTTTTTCTGCTATTTAGGGACATGTTATGTTGGAAATCAATCAGATAGAGCTTTATTGTCTTTGATAGCGATTCCAATGTTAATTTTTTGGACCATTGGTTTGTAATAAACTTTTTGAAAATAACAATATATTTTATTTTTATTTTAATTTTAGGATGCGGGTATTTACTAAGTGGTTACTTAACGTTAAAATCGTATTCTAATCTGAAATTACCTGCGCATTTGAACGGAATGGGAGCATTTTTATTACTATACAATACTCTTACTGCACTTGTATTGCTTTCATTATTTTATATTTTTGGCAATAGAGAAAATTGGATTAATTTAATTGATAACATTAATCAGAATCAGCAACTAAAAGCGCCATTATGGTTGCACATTTCTCATCCATTTTTGGAATTACTTGCTGGTGTTCTTTCATCTGCTTGGGCAATAGGACCAAAATTAAGATTTGGCTTTTGCCAAGCTACCAAAACAAAACAACAAATTTATAAGACACCTGCCTCTGTACAGTGCCAACATAACCCATTTCATTCTGCTTCATATCAAACTATATGTCCACCGAATTCAGTAGTGTCTAATTCTTCTATAATATCAATGAATCTAGTAACAAAAAGCTCTTTTGTTAGAAAAAATCACTCATATCACATAAATCCTCATTCTCATGGCCGAAGATCTCGTGGTTCATACAGGACACCTTCAATTCAGTCAGCCAACTTAACAGCAAATGAAACTATTTTGTAAAACTTGCCAATATTTACAAAACTCATGAAAAAGGTTCAATATTTTAATCGTTATTTGAATGTGATTGTGTGCTACAAAATTGTTATTTTTGTAAATGTATGATTTTAAAAAAAATGAAGAAATAATCTTTAATTCCTGGCTGGCTGGAAAAAAACTAGAGCAGAAAATATAAAAAACGGAAAACTACTTTTCAGAAAAAAGGTTTGAGTAAGTTAATGGCGCGCTCCCTTATTAAGCTATCTTTCGAGAACTGTTTGATATATTCTCATTGTTGACAAAATTTTAAGATTGGCAATTTTAAAATTTGTATACATTAAGTGCAAATGCAACATATCGTTACATTTTAAATGGGAAATTAAACACTGTTCAACACTTATAATTTAAACGTACTTATTATATTATTTAATTAATTGAATGAATTATTGATGGCTGTGAATTACTAAGTATCCCTAAGTACTACTTATTATTATGTATTATTTGCTCACAAATAAATATTATAAAATTTAATTTTCTTAAAATCAAATAATTTTAACTTTTTACTTAGGGGCTGTTCACTTATTACGTAACGCGAAAAAATGACTTTTTAGACCCCCCCCCCCTCGTAACAAAATTTGTATGAAAAAAAATTTTCCTTGTTTGAATCGTAACAAAATCTTAGACCCCCCTCCCCCCTAAAAGCGTTACGTAATAAGTGAATGGCCCCTTAACACATTTTTTTTTTGTTTTTTTTTTTGTTTCAGGAAAATCCTATTTAAATCGAATCTATTCAAATCAAATTATTATTATATACAGTAATTTCCTTCGAACAAAAATTTAAGTTTTTTTATTCGCTAATTTTGACTATTCAAATTAAATCGGTTCAAAACGAGGTATTTGCTACTCTGCATAATTGCATGACCCAATGTTTATCAATCCAAATTACCTAGCCAAAAACCGTGTCGCTATGACAAGAACAGCGAAAAAGTAACAAAAACCGACTTCCCTAGGATCGAACAAGGGTTGGTAGGGTTGTTTGCCAACACTCTAGCCTTTACGCCAGTGCTGGTTTTTCTCTGCTTAAAAAAATAATTGAATGAAATTGGTATTTAACCGTATTTAATAATACTTATTAAAGGAGTCATAAAAAAAACTGAAATACAATTTTGAAAAAATTATTTGGGTCTTATTGCTTAAAACTTTAGTGTTATTATTGTATAGAAATTGAATGAAAACATTAAATATATATATATATATATATATTGTACAAGGACTTTGCATCATGCAGTTTCTAAAAGGATATCGTATGAATACAGAGCCATTATAAAATTTTCAACAATTATGGAAAGGAAAGGATTTTCCCCCTTTTTCAATTTTAATTTTAAATTACTTTAGTCCTTTTCCTCGTGATGAGACATGATTTCTTTCATTTTTGCATGAGATTTGCTTGAAACCAAGACTTTCCATTAATACAAAATTGAATTTTTAATGGACTAATTAAACATTTATTTCAAATTTACCCTGTTAAGTTTAAAACTGTCCACAAGTAGCAAACGTCATATTAAGTCATTCAGAATGACACCTGACTTATATGAAAATCTTTTCTGAACTTTTTGTGCATACCATAATTTATGAAGTTAATAAAAAAAGAAGAGAAAAATCTAAATACATTTATTAAAATCACAAGAAACATCATCAAATGATTTGCTTTATTAAAGAAAATAGAAATTTGATAGAAACCTTATTCTTAATGAGCAACAATGAATAAGAATTTTCTAGAATAACTACAAACGAAGTAAACATTTGTAAACATTGTTAAGGTCTAAGAGGGTGTTTGCAATTTGGATGAGATTTATAACATTTCATTACGAAGAATAAAAGAATATACAGTTAAACGTTGGCAAATTGAATCTTAATTGGAGAAACTGAGTGTAATGAATGAATAAAAGAGAAATTAGGAAATGGAATTAATTACCGAAACCATTAAACAGTATGTGTGTAAAAAGGAAAAACCAATTCTATAATTCTTTATATGAAGAAGATTATTTCATTGATAAGCATATAATAACTTAAATTTTTAACCTTATTTTTTTATTTTTACACAAACAATAAAATTATTTACCCCAAATAAAGTTTAAAATCTATATTATAAATACTCCTGATTTGCTAAAAGTGTGATCTTAATATATTTTTTACTTTTTGGTTTTAAGCATTTTTGTCTTGGTAGAAAGTGATTGAGTTTCAATCAAAACTTTGAAAAAATAAACACTCACCAAGATTGAAAATTCGGATTATCCTAGGATAATCTCAGGATAATCCATATACTAAAATCATTTTTTTTTTGCTATATTCACTATCCAATAAAAAGATTTTTTCTCAAACTGTTCTGATTATCATTGACCAATTAATTGTACATCAGAAAAAAATTATTTGGATTTTCTGCGCATCGAAGAAATAGATAATCCTAAAATAAGGATAATCCACTTTAGTGAAACAGGCCGAATGTTTCGCAATCACGAACCAAAACTTTAAGCGAAATATAGTAGAGATATTACTGAAATTACATCGTTACAGTTAAAATATCCTTAATAATGTTTAATAATATTTGTGTCCTCTATCCTAATATGAACAATCATTAATTTTCATAAAAAGTAGAAGTATTACAAATGATTTGTGAGTAAGAGTTTAAAAAAAAAGTTATGTTTCTTATATATTTGGTATTACTATATTAATGATAATAAATTTGTTTCCCTTCATTTGAATAATTGCATGAATCAAATTGCTATTAGGTGAAATACGTATTATCGTTTTTTATGTGTGAATATTTATTATATACATATAAAAAAAACTTTGTACTGTTTTGAGTGTACCAAAGGAGAAGTTTTTCAATGCGCAAACACTGAAAAGTAGGAGAAAAGAGAAAAAAAGTCGACCAATCAAAAGAGCAAAGTAGATTTATGCATTTTTTACTACTACAGACATAACGATAAATTCTAGAGAAAATAATCTATATCAAATTGCTTTTTAGATGATTGGATTTGAAAAAAATGAAGAGAAATATTTAAAAAAGAATTTTCTTACTTCCTTAAAAATCCTTTTTTTCTTCCTTTCTTGAGAAGACTACATTAAAAAAAATCATATAATTACGATAATGGAATGGAAATAAAAAATAAGAAATTTAGTTGATAAATTTTCAAAATTGTTTAAACCTTAACGTTAATAATTCATTACGAAACGATATTTTAAGATGAAAACATTCTCAAAGTCTGCTTTGTTTTCTCTTTTTTTATTAATTAAATGAATAAACATAATAATTGTCATCAACCAGAAAAATACTGTTAATTGATTCAATCAATAAATTGAGAACAGCAAGACACTTCATAAAAGATTTATTTTATTAAAAGCAATTTATGTTGATGATTATTAATCAAAATTCATTTAAAAAAAGAATATACATATTTAATAAATTGATTGAATTTGAATTAAAATGCATGATAAAAATTAATTTAAAATATCATGAAACAAATGAAAATACGGGTAACGATTTATAAGAAAAATAAATATTTAAAACAAAAAACTACTGAAATTCATTTTTAAATTTTTATACATCAAAAGAGAAAAGAGAGTGTTGCAGAATAATTTTAATACACCAAAAATAACACCCTCATTATTTTACCCTTTATTAAGAAACCAAGAAAAAAAGTAACTATAATTTTTACATGTGTCAAAATAAACCCTTCGAATAATAATAATACTAATTTTCTCTTTCATTGAATGTAATTGAAATTATAACATTTTGTGAAAAGTGCACTTATCTTGAGGGGATGATTTGATGTAATTCATTTGGGATATTTGTGCTTAAATATTTTTAAAAATTCATTTCATTTTGTTTAACGATCCATGCAATACTTATTTATTGTTGATATGTTGACTTTTTATTTTTTTGGAATGTGTACAGAGAGATGTTTTTAAAATCTAATGTGCGCTAATAAGCTTTAGGCATTCCAAAGAGATTTGAAAAATAGACTTTTTTTTAATAATTACTATGCCACAGCGTCACTGTTCAATAAATTTACAAAATGTTAAAACTGGTTAAAACAATATTTATGAACGAATATGTTTACGTTTAAAAAACCAAAAGTCAACACTTACATGCAAAAAATAAAAATGTTAAAATGACATGTAAAATGGCATAAGGTTAGGGTGACCATCTGGGAAGTTTTACAACGGTAGTCCTGTATTTCAAAACCCTGTCCTGTATAAATTTGAAAATTGTTCCAGGTCCTGTATTTTTTTCACGAAAATTTCCGTTAATTTTCAAATTTTCCTTTGTGTCCTGTATTTTTTGGGAAATTTATCAAATGTCCTGTATTTTCATAAAAATTAGATGGTCACCCTACATAAGGTATGTGATTTGATATTAATATTCTATATAAAGTGGTAAATTGGTGAGAAAATTTGAAATCCAATGTCAATGAGTTTTGTTTAAAAAAAGGTTTTCTTTAATTTTAATTTCACTTTGAAAGATCAATAAGCTAGAACTTTCAAAGATCACAAAGCCCTATTAATTCACTACAAGTGATCTATTGAAATGTTACAACTTAACCAAATAGAGTAAAAAATTGAAAAAATATGTTCGAAAATTCTGTATTTTTTCATGGATTAGGACGAAAAAAAGCTCTTTGATAACTCGATGACACAATAAAAATTTCAAAGAATTATATTTCATTAATTGATGACTTAAAGCAAACAGAAAAGCAAATTATTCAAAGATTTTTGTCTATTCTATAACTCAGTAAAAGTTATTCAATGTGGATATCAATAGTTTTCTCTAATTTTCGATTCTTCGGATGATGTAAATAGAAAATTCCGATATCTGTCATCTAATTGATCGTCTATTGACTAAAGAATTCAAATAACTTAATTAATACAGCGATTAGAATTTATATGATGTCGAAAGTATTATACATTTTAGATTTTTTCATCGATAACGAGAAAAATTAATAAAATTTCAATTTTTTGCTGAACAATCATAAAAAAACATCTAAAGAATTGTTCCTACTTATGTCAAGACAATTCCAAAGACAAGGGTTTTTTATGCCTTTTTAAATAGTTTGGAAAAAGTGACGGAAAGAAAAAAAAAGGATAAATTAAGAATTGCTAATAGAATGTTAAAGGATTTAGTCTCTTCAATAAA